GAGGAAAATGTATGATTGTGATGCCATGATGGATCAGAGAGCTCTTCTAGGAGACAAGAAGAGCACACTTGTCACAGCTAGGAAATGAAATGAGACGCCGTCCATCAGCCATGGTAGTATGGACATTGCAATGTTATCCTGCGCCAAAGAATAATTGAGTATGGGGGTTTATACTTAAATACACTTCTTTGTAAACATATCCTAACACCCATAAGAAACTACACATCTTCTGTTGTTGAGTCAAATGATCTGAACAGATCTTCAGCCCATCGGTGTAGTGCTGTTACAATGTGAAGCATGAACGTTGTGTCCCCTAGCAAACCAACTATTCAAGTCCTTGGACAGTTGAATGTATGGGATAAGTGCCGGTGGGACTTCTGAAACTCTAGACTTACCATACTCAGGTGACATCTTTTACTGTAGCCTGTAGGAGCTACTCCTTGTTTCATGAATCAACTGCTTTGTCAGCACATCAGCTTTACTAGTTGCTTGTTATCAAAAACATCTGTAGCCAGACTTCATAGAACCTAGTCGAAGCTTACCAGGTAATAAGTTACATAAGAACTGTTTTTCTCAGATCGGATAGAACATGGTGTATTGTATGTCCAGGTTTGATATGCAATTAGCCGGACGAACACTTTGGCAACTCATTTCATGCCTCAGTTTGCAGTTGCATGGAGGTAACAACTCTCAACCAAATAAAAAACTGTCCAGATAAATGGAAGTGAAATCTTCCACCATCCCACTACACGGTCATATTCAAGCATCTTACTGCAGGACCATCAGATACATGATCCAAACTCACCCGCAACATAGAGGATAATATATTAAAAATAACAGGGTAAAATACATTGAAATAACACCACTGCAGCAGGAAGGCTTTAATTGAAGCTAGTTAACCATATACCCAATTCGTCTCACATAAAATCCTTTTTTTGGTATAGTTACATGTAAAATCTTGCAGGACAGAGATTGGGGACATGAAAGGTCATTCCAGATAAATAGTTCTTATCCAGAGCAAACTCAACCAAATAACCAATAAGAGCTTCCAAATAGAGTTAGAAATAAATTATACACATAAAATCAAGACTGTCGAGGCATACCAGATTTCATATCCACCCTATCCACCTTCCCATATCTTCTGAAAAGCCTCTCCAACTCTGACTGCCTGGCGTTATATTCAACATTCCCACAGAAGATTGGCCTCATCCCACCTGAGTAGAAGATGTCAAGACTCTTTCCACCCTGAGATCATACAAGAAACATTGTTGGTGAAAAGGGAAGAGAAAAAAATCAATTTAGTCCACTTCCAGCATACATAATGTACTTCATCAGTACACAGCAAAACATCAGTTAAGAAATGCCAGCAATCATTTCATATTAGTCATCGTATGATGAGTTAGATGACCTTAATCAGCGATGAAGAGCATTTGAAGTAAAACGTGATAAATTTGTTTGACAATAGCGTAATAATTGCAAGATATGTTCCACCTAAAATGACAACTTCCTAGCAAAAGCTTGAGGCAGCCAATAAAACAGATACTATAACATACTGTACATACAATAAATTACAGTTTTTTTTTCATTATCAAAAAAAAATACAGTTTCTTTTTTCAAAAGTTAACATACCCAGTGAACTTAGGAATTGTTGCTTTTCTGAGGACACTATTGATTTCTCTTGAATTTCAGCAAAGGTTACATACATCATCCCAGAAAGATCATTATTTATTTTTTTCATTATTTGAGTGTCAAACCTACTAAAATTTGACCATGATTTTCATTCAACTAGTAGTATTTTTCAAGCCATTTCAAATCTTTGTGTTTTACTTTTAGTAGATGACTTTGTTTAAGTCCAAAGATCGATCAAAAGTAAATTTTGAATAAAATCGAGAAAGATAAAGTTCCATTCAAAAGCTTAAGTTAAACGTTCAACTTTATAAAACAAGAAACAAGTTCAGCTCATCAAAACATAACAATGCAACGCAAATAGCCAAGAAAAAATCAGTCCAAGTTCCTCCGTGTAACTCTGTATTTCCAGGACCCAATTTAATAACTAGCAGAGACAATATTGCTCCCACAATACATCAACCAATCATCAACTACATCCCATTCCTTAATTAGTTAGAATCAGCTATATGAATCCTTTATATCGATTCCGATCAATTTCATTCCGATGCTAAATAATTTGCATGTTAACATAAAATCAGAGTTTCTAATTCTCACGCTTATCCTTGTACGGAAGTAAAAGTCTTTCCGCATAATACATGCTTAAATGAAAATTGTCGCAAGAAAAAATGTATTTTCCACCTAAATATATTTCCATGTTAATCTAAAGCCCTAAATTTTAATTCCATTTAGCTTATGTGGAAGTTCAGGCACCAAAAACACTAAAAACTAAGATGATTCATCTTTGAACGGCTTAATTTGGGTGACAGGTAAACGAATAATTCACCAAAACCCATTAAAATTTGGGTAGGTTGAACAGGTCATGGTCAATTTAGACAACCGTAGACACCAACACAAACAAATCAATTTTTCAAGCTACACAAAATAAATCCGTCTAAGGAGACCTTATTCTTGCTAAAATAATTTAACCAAACTAAACAACAATATTAAATTAAAAGTAATGAATAATGGGTTGTAGGGTTCAGATTTCTCTATTCTCCTGACACAAAAAAAAATTATTCAGAGATCCACATAAAATTAAAATTCATATCTTAGAATCAAGGTCAAGAAGACAGATCTTAGATTTACCGTGTCCCTTTATCTTCAATTGATTTTGCGAACGGTTAAATAGATCTGGAAAAAATATAAAAACCCTAGTAGATCTGATACATGAGAGGTTAAGAAGTTTTGTTACCTCGTTAAAGCAAGAGAAAAATGTAACTACAGCGAAGCTGAAGCTGAAGCGGAGATACAGAGGCTGAGCCTAAATATCTTTTCTTGACGCTATCGTCAGTGTTATAAGCAGCAGGAGCAGGGGCATGTTTCGTTTTTACCAAAATAACCTTCGTGCGTTTTTTTGTATGTTTTCACTTGTCCTAACTTTTTTTTTGTTGTAACCTTCCCTAGTAGATTTGATATTTATTGTTAGTTGTTATAAATATATTATATTATGAATGTTTATTTAGTACTCCGTTGTAAATAATTTTTCTGAAGAAATTTATCCATATGAGACTCCACCATAAATATGTTTATCCATTTAGTACTCTATTGGAAATAAGCTTCCTGAAGAAGCTNACAACAATATTGAGAGATGGGATTTAAAAAGTATTCTGAACTTATCTCACATCTTCTTATAGCAGAGCAACATAATGGGCTATTAATAAAAAATCATGAAAGTCGACTTATTGGTTCTTGTCCATTCCCTAAAGTGAATGAGACGAACTTCCACCAAGCTAAACGTGGAAGAGGTCGTGGCNAGCTTCCTGAAGAAGCTTATCACTTCGGTACCCGGTTATGGATAAACATTACCCTAGGTAGAAGATTATCCATATCGGGTATAATAAATTTATTTATTTAGTACTCCGTTATAGATAAACATTGCTCTCAATAGAAGATTATCCATATCTGGTATAGTAGCAGCTTACACAGCAGCTTGCAGTAGCAGNAGTGCAAACACCAAATGCAGAAAATGCATGATATAGTATGGAGGAAAAGGGCACTGGTCACGTACCTGCTGTACGCCAAAACACCTGGTTGAGCTTTATCAAGCCTCCCTGAAGAAGACAAAGAAAAATGCTGAAGCAAATTTTATTTCTGAAGATAATTTAGACTTCATGCATTTGGATGTAGCTGATTACTTTGCACTCCCAGAAGGAGAAACAAGTCATGTAATCGGTAGTGAATCTGTAGAAATGTAAATATTTTAATTTTTGTTGTTTGTAATAGATAGTATGGTTATGTAATTGTTGTACATAAATAAAAGTTATGTTTTGATAATGATGTTTACTATAATATATTTTATTTATGTTATTTTGAAGAATATGGATAACCCTCAAATTATGTTTGGATCAAAGACAAATCATGAAGATATTTGTGTTATTGATAGTGGAACAACTCATGCCATATTCAACGATCAGAAATACTTTTCTTATTTGCATAAGGAAAAAGCAAATGTTTCAACAATTTCTGGTAATATAAGTTTGATTGAAGGCTCCGGAAGAGCCATAATATTTCTGTCTAAGGGAACAAAACTTATTATAGACAATGCATTGTTCTCCTCCAAGTCCCGAAGAAACTTGTTGAGTTTTATAGATATCCGCTGAAATGGGTATCATGTTGAGACAATAGATGAAATGAACAGGGAATATCTTTGTATTACAAAGAATATTTCTGGCCAGAAATGCATTGTAGAAAAGTTACCAACTTTATCTTCTGGCTTATACTATTCAAAAATTAGTACAATTGAAGCACACTCTATCGTAAACCAGAAGTTTACGGATTCAAATACTTTTGTGCTTTGGCATGGCCGCTTGGGCCATCTCGGATCAATAATGATGAGACGAATTACTGAAAATTCGAGTGGGCATCCATTAAAGAACTTGAAGATTCTTACAAATGACGAATTTTCTTGTGATGCTTGTTATCAAAGAAAAATTATCACTAGACCATCATCAATGAAGGTTGGTATTGAATCCCTTGCCTTTTTAGAGCGTATACATGGGGATATATGTGGACCTATTCACCCACCAAGTGGGTTGTTTAGATATTTTATGGTCCTAATAGATGCATCTTCAAGATGGTCTCATGTGTGCCTACTATCATCTCGCAACCTGGCGTTTGCAAAGCTATTAGCCCAAATAATTCGATTAAGGGCACAATTCCCAGATTATCCTATAAAGGCTATTCGCCTTGATAATGCTGGAGAATTCTCATCTCAAGCTTTTGATGATTATTGTCTATCCGTTGGGATAAAAGTTGAACATCCTGTAGCTTATGTTCATACTCAAAATGGCCTTGCAGAGTCATTTATTAAACGCCTGCAATTGATAGCAAGACCACTACTTATGAAAACAAAATTGCCCACTACTGCTTGGGGCCATGCTATCTTGCATGCAGCATCAATTATCCGTCTCAGACCGACACATTATAATAAATATTCTCCGTCACAATTAGTTTTTGGTCATGAACCAAATATNTAAAAGGGCATCAGAATTTGTTATATTTGTTGTTTATGTTGATGACATAAATCTTGTTGGAACTCCAGAANCATGTGCTGTATATGTGCTAGTAACACCACCACAACGTAGTAAGATGGGACCACAAAGAAAGATAGGAATATATGTTGGGTTTGAATCACCCTCTATTATTCGCTATCTTGAACCATTAACAGGAGATNAAACATTTAGCAGACGGGATCTTTATCCATCAGTCTGCCTATACAGAAAGGGTCTTAAAACGCTTTTACATGGACAAAGCGCACCCATTGAGTACANCAGTTTGATGAAACAAATTTTCCACAATTAGGGGGAGAGAAAAATAAAATCAAAAGAGAAATTATGTGGAAAATTTCATCATTATCTCACTTTGATCCCCGTACCCCTATAAGTAATCAGGAGGTCCAGAAGATCATCCATTTACAGAATATAGCAAATCAAATGNTGGTCCCGAACTACCCTATCTCAGTGGAATTGGTGCACTAATGTATCTTGCTCATGCTACAAGGCCCGACATAGCATTTTCTATTAATTTACTAGCAAGATATAGTTCTTCTCCTACACGGAGACATTGGANATATCCGAATTAATGTCCCAGTAGGACCATCTACTAACATGAGAGATAGTGAACCTAAAGCACGCCTGAAGCATGGTAGGCCTTTGGGTTCTAAGGATCGAAATCCTCGAAAAAGAAAATCGACAAATGATCAAAACGATACTATGAAGGTATCTCTTGAAGAGACCTAAAATCTGATTAGTTCTGAGATTCCTGAAGAAATTAATGAACCCGAAGCTCATGTGAGTGAGGAACTTTTAATAAGTCCGATCGGTGATGGAATTAATTTAAATCGATCTGAAATAGTGGTGGATAATATTTTTGCATATAATATTGCACTTAATATTATGCAAGATAGT